GCATTGCATTCTATACAAGGTCTTTATCACATACATAAACATATATGAAGTACTTTTTAGGTGATTTAATTTCTTGTAATACAGATTATTGGCCCTAACTGTTATTATGTGTACTATATTTTCATTCAGTTTTTTTTTTTTTTTTTATTATCATTATTTTGGTACAATTTATACCTTGTTTATTTTATGGTTAATGGAAACATTCCAAATAGCTGTTCAGAGTGCATTAACACATGATTTTTTTGTTGTTGCTGTAACAGCCTTTTGCTTATAGCATTTTTTTAACTGTTCCTTAGAACCTTGTACAAAATGTGTATTGGTTAACAATCTTTCATACCCTGAACAAATTTTGAGTGGTGATGCAATGCTTTTCAACCCCGCTGAGAATCGTCACTATCACATCGCATACTAGGCAAGAGCGGTGTCGCGTCTGATACTGTGAAATGCGATCTGACACACACCTTCAATTTCAAGAGGGGAATATTGTCGTGATATATTTTTCAGAAACCGAGGGGGGGGCGGGTCAGACCCCCACTCTAAATCCCCCACTGATGGGGGGAAGAAGTAGTTTTTTTTTTTTTTTTTTTTGGGGGGGGGGGACTTCTCAGTATCTAAACTGCTGCTGGTGGTGGGAGTGGTGTTGGTGCTGCTGCTGCTACTGCACGAAGCGGCTGGGGCTGACTTAGGTGGAGGGGAGCTGTAAAGGCGTGTTGGGCCATTCCGTGGTATTTGGTCTGCAGACCTCAAAATTTAAAAAAGTATCCTACTTATAAAACTTATAATTTCTGAAACCAGACACCATAAGACACCAGAATCCAAAAGAAATTTGAGGTTTTGATGATTAATTATGATTTTATTGACACTTTTATCTTGAAAACTTATAAAATAGTGTTACGGAAGGACATTTTTATTTTTGATATATTTTTCATAATAGTGATCAATTTAAACAATAAAGGCTAAATACATTAAAAATAACTTATTTCTTACATTAAGTCAAGTGCATTAGATTAAACAATATTTGATTATGAAATTATGGTTTAATTAATATCAATTTGTCCTTCCGTAACTATTTTGGTACCTATTTTTTAAGTTTTCTCAGAAACTACATAAGCTAAAAACTTATAACTTCATATTCTCCTCAACCATGATATGGGCCAACAAAATACGAAAACATTTTTGCTTAGAACCAATTCAATAAGAAATTAAATCCAAATTTTTAAGCATTAAACATGACACCTAGCACACATGAGGCATTTTGATTGGATAATAACAGGTCATGTGACCAATGAGCCCTAAAACCCTGGTCTTTCAAGATAATCTTGAACTTAAAATGCACAATTATTATATATATATATAGAAGCATTTTAAAACTGAGAAACATTTCATTTGAATAAATAATTTTGAAGTTATCATAATTTAGACAATTGATTATATTTATAATTAATAAATTTGGTAAGATTTTCTCTTAAATGTCCCAATATTATTTAAAGATGATCAGAGCAGATGAAGACTTATATTATAGTCAAAAACAGTGGCATGTTTGAAGATGAAATATATTACCATGGAAAGACATGTTTACCTTTGATATCATTCATCAAACTTAGGCTGGTATGTATTCATAAAACATTGTTATTAGCCTTGTTTTACAGCAATGGACAAAACGTCCTTCCGAGACGCGCCCTTCTGTAACGCCTACTTGATTTTTTTTAATGTGAAAAATATCAAATTAATTTTTTTTCCAAAAAAAATTTTTTATATATTGAGAAAGTAAAATAATCAAATATTCAAATATTCATATTTTGATTTGACTTTGAAAAATATCTCCACAGACAGAGCAGAACTTTGGTGTTGAAGTTGAAAGTTAAAATTCCATGTCCATTTCATGTCCTTCCGAGACGCTAACTATTTATCATAATTTTTTCGTAACTATCATTTTTTCTAACCTAATTTTTTTGCCTACTTACAACTTATATATAGAGGAATAAACATACAAAAAATTGGACCTTTTAACTTTTTTGCTTTTTTAAATATTTTCATTTGAAGTGTCAAATGTCCTTCCGTAACGGCAAAAAAATACCACGGAATGACCCTGTTCAGCCTTGTCCTCTATCGTCCAACACGTGACCACAAGGGCCCCTAATATGTATAAGTAAAATATCGCAAGGGCAGTGTAGTAGCCAATCAGAGGCCGTGGTTTAAGCCAGATACAACACTCGCCTGCGGCTCGACAATACAATAATTCGTAATAATTCACGTACAGTTCGGCGACTCTTATTGTATCTATCACATACTAGCCTACTATAGTACAACATCTGTCAACTCTCCTCAATCTGTCAATTGCAAGCACTTGTCAGTGTCAGATTTTCGCGGTATTGACTGTGACGTCGGCGCAAGGGTAGCCAATACCATTGACATCAGCGCCATCTAGCGCCAAATCGAGTTTTGGCTTCTAGTTGCGTTTTGACGACTAGTCGTATTTTGCCGTCTGATCTGATAACTACGACGTCTAATATTGTTTTTAATTCGTCTGATCTGATAACTACGACGTCTAATCGTGTTTTTAGTTCCTCTGATCTGATAACTACGTCTAATCCTGTTTTTAATTTTTGTATAAACCGCCGCCCATAAAAACCATACGCCTACGCTGGTGGTACAATAAAACTGTGATTCATACCAACAATAAACAAAAGCACAGTTTCATTTTACCGAAATATCACAAAATTTATTCGAAATATATTTTCTCTTTTTTTTAATAAAAAACACATTGTCAAAACTTTGATTAATCTGACATAGGTTAAATAATTACATTAAGGAATGAAAGAGTTTTTTTTTTTTTTTTTTTTTAGTTTCCATCAGAATCACGGTTATGACATGTATATGGCAAGGGGCAAACTAGCCCCTTAAAAAGGGGCGGACTTGCCGCGAAGGGACCTTTTTGTAAAGCATGTGATTGCATAATTTGGAGGGCTTATTCGATATAAGAATTTGCCACAGTAAAAGTCATACATCCTGCATTTCATTAATATAAATGGCTAACTGTAAATATATACTCAACTCACGAAAATAGACACCAAATGGAGACTTTGAAATTATTCTCCAAGGTGAAAAAAAATTAGTTCTGCCTTGCGAGTCACGTTTTATCTGCGTTGCACCTAGCCTCTACCAGGGTCACAGATTGATTTTTCACTAGATATTCACAGATGTCTGTGGTCAAATAGACGGTTATTCTCTGCACTGTACCCTGAGTGTCAGAGCAACGTGAAAGTTAGTTTGTTTAATATTTAATATACCTTGGAGTAACTTTTCACTAGCTCTCACGAACAGCGACAATCTGAGGGCATTCTTCTTCAAAAATTTGCCTGGGGCGCTTCCATATTTGGAAGTCACACGTCACAGCTGTGTCCGCCTGGATCCATATTTGGAAGTCATAAGTCTCGTACGTCACAGGTTTAGCCGCCTGGAGCTGCCTTTCCCGCCTTGCGCTGACATAATCTCGTGCAGACGAGACAAGAATCAAAGTGTCTGACGCGGATTTAGAAGTTTGAATTGAAAATATCTTGCAGTCGAAGGTCAGTGCCACAATACAAGCAACATTCTGCTTTAAAAATTGATTTTGGTGTAGCCATTGCGCAGCCCTTATAGTGGTACCGGGCATCCAGTGGGGGGCATCTCGATAGTCCGAAGGTTCATTGGTCCGAAGGTTCATTGGTCCGAAAAGTGGTAACATTTTCATCGATTTTTTAATCAAGGGTTCATTGGTCCGAAGGTTCTATAGTGAAGTTTCGGACCAATGAACCTTCGGACTATTGAACCTTCGGACTATCGCTACGGCCCCATCCAGTGTAGCTGTCAAACTTGGCACAACACGGCAAGCACGTGTATTGTGTCTATTATCTCAGGACTATATGTTCTTTTATAAGCAAAAATACAAAAACATTGGATATACCTTTTTCTTATAGAAACATATTATTTATTTCTCACTTTACATATCTTTAATACAGCAAATAAAATTAAATAAAGCAGAATTAAATCTATTTTACGTTTCTGATGTCGATTCAGCAAAAATGTCCACAATAATAACTGCGACCCTTGTAGAGGGTAGGGGCGGACTAGCCTTTCCCCACTCATTTCACTCAGTGCCTTCCACTGCTGGACTTAATCACTCCAATGTTTGGAATATATTTAAAGATTTTATAATGAAGTCAAAAGTAAAAACAATTCACTAATTCATTATAAACACCAAACAACTATTAAGATTACTTAAAAACACTTTATGATAAATTTGACCATGTTCATTAGTTTTGGCGTCTATTTAATCCTTCTTAGAAATAATTAACTTATTATTTTATTAAAGTTCATATGTCGGTTATTTCTGGTACTTACAGAGGTCGACAGTCCAAAGTTTCTAAATTCTGCATGACTGAAGTAGCTGACTAACCCCCACTCCAGTTTGAAATTAGCCAACGTTTCTCGGCAACTTTATCCCGGCGACTGCTAGACCATGTGCAGGTACGATGCCTGTGCGGAAACTACGCAATGTAATCTGCGATAATGCCACAATCTACGGGCTCAAGACTTAACAATTTGTCAAAAGTTGTAAACGGACATTCGCTAAGTCGCTCAGACGCCGCACAAAAAGGATTTATGGGCAGTTAGCATGTACATGCACTGCACGGACAACGCATGGCAACTGAAACCTGGGCTTAAATGACGTCATAACCCTGTTGATAACCTTTTTTTGCGTTAACTCTTAACGTGTAGAAAATGACAAGATTAGAAATCAGATTTTCTCCATATTTGGACGCCAGGAAGTGACATTCGTAGAGTACACGTTTGATACTCACTAATGGATCCAAACAAATCACAAACATTTTAGTGCGCATAACAACTATTTATGATCACAATATTAAAGGTGTAAAATTATTATCTATTAAATGTTTTCATTGGATAACTTTTGGCAGCATGTGACCATGACCAGCGACGTCACCGTCAAGCCCAAATACATAAGTTGCCGTAGCATGACATGTTAACGATTTAACATGGAGGGGGTTTTAGTCATCGGTATGGCTGGCGAAAGGATAAAAATATCCGTTCCAGGATATAGCGATATAGGCAAAGCATCAGTGAAGGCATTAAAACAGGAAATTGTGGGACAATGGCCAAAGAGTTTTGGTAAGTAATTCAGATAATTTATGCATTGTTAAACGGCACCTCAGTGCACTGAAAATGAACCAAATTTGACCTTTAAGGTTTTCAGAAATCAGCATATCTGTCAAAAAAAACTTTTCCATGCGTGAGTGAGTAATAGGCCAACATGGATTATTTAGTTGTCTGTTTCACACGTAAAAGGAGATGCAACGCACGAACAGAATGGTTTGAACGCTGCATGTCCTTCAGAAAACGTGTCGAACTTCTGATTTAATTACCACATACACAAATTTACCGAGCTTTAAAAATGCGTCCTTTTCGCTATGTCTGGAAGGTAAGGAGTTACGCGGTGACATGGCCCCGTGACGTAATTGGTCACATCGTCTCACAGGAGGGAGAGCTAGCACGTTACGTTATCACACTAAGCTGTTATTATCTACCTATTAAATGAGTTTCCAAAGTAACCTGAAGGGTTAAAATCCCCGTGAAGCCATTTTGCTGTAAATTCATTTCTTTAACTAGCAAGTATAATGCAAAACACTGGATGGTAGGGGTTGTACATTCGTTGATAGGTGGCGATCGCATATACAAATGAAACTAGATGATGTCGATATGTACATGTAGCCATTGCATATCCCAGCACTTCCTTCCCCACATTGTAAATAGTCTCTCTCTCCCTCTCAGGGAGCCCATTCCCTTGATATCTATGACAACGCCTGGGTCAAGTATGTATAATTACTGCAAATAATCTTCATAATAACAGCATAAAATAATATCCATGAAAAAGAACACTTAATGCAAAAAAAAAAAGATCATCTTCTTCACCCTTAGGACTTCCCGACCCCCATGTTCACATAAATTATTGTGTAGGGATAGTTCTAACTCTATTTGAACTCGGCTTTTAGTTTTCAGTTTCTTTTTCTTTTTTTAAGTATTGTTGAATATAAGCTGTTAGCCGGTTTGCCGGTCACTAAAATGAAAAACAATATACCTTACGAAAAAAAAAATCAACACATCAGTCACCATAACTACATAAAATTAAAACAGACCAAAACACTTACATAATTGTAGAGTCTGTAGAAAGAGAATAATTTTTACAGGTCCCTCTCCTCTCTGAGTCAGGTAACAGTGTGATGTAGGTGTGGTCTCATGAGAGTCATATGAGTGATAACATCTGCTTCGCACTTGACTGATACATCGAACACTTATCAACTTACATGTAGTTATCCCGGAACAATTATGACTGACCCATCCACATCCAATATGATAGGTCTATCAGTGCCAAAATTTATAATTTCCTCATTCTAATTGTCTTGATGAAGATAGCTGAAGTTACATTATAAAAATTTGAATCATCCATTTAAATTCAGAAGTGCCCATGTACCCCCAATGATGATAACTTTACCAATCCCCAAACTTTCAACTTCCTAATTCCAAAGGTCAACGAGGAGATAGCGGAAGTTATAATGCGCAAGCACAAATACGCACGGACACACAGACTCACGGTACGGGAGTAATCTTCTGTTGTTGTTGTTGTTGTTTATGGCGAAAACCATAAAAAAATCTTGACCTAATATTTATTCCAGTCATAACACTGCTCAAATCTGTGTAATTGCACAAAAAAGATATCAAGCATTGCGACCAAAAGTCATTTTGCACTTGTAAATCTACATATTTAATCTAACTCCGTCTTATTGAGATAAATTTTATTCAAATGGTAGACATTTATCTCCCAAAATTTTCTTTTTCAAAATTTAATTATCGCATGTTAATATGGTTCACGACAGTCGATGACCAACTGTAAAATAAACACTTAAACACGCTATCTTTTTAAATCTTTTTAATCTTGTACATCTGGCATTCGTGCAAAAAGTACATACTGTAAAGGATCAAAGTTGTTTGTTTTTGAAAGATGACATTAAAAAAAAAACGTCGAGTTGTCGTTGCTAATTAATCTATAATAATAGACCAAATGAACATTTTACAAAAATACTATACTAAAGCATATGCCATGAAATGCAAATATGGGTTTCTCATCACATGTTAATCAAATTATTATTTATTTTTTTTTCTAAACATGTAAAGATCAAACTAGTCTCAGATTAATGATTTGCCATTTTTACTTTGAATGATATTAGGCTTTTAAAGTAACTCTTATTTCCTCGGCAGTCTTTGTTTGGATTAACATTGTAAATGCTATTTTCGAGGTGTCGCCAGCTTTTAAAATTTAAAAATAAATCTTCGTGACCCTTTTTGCCGCATGTCATAAATTTAAGTTACTTGATGTTTTTTGTAACCTTTTGGTCATTGATAAAATTCCCGATTCCATTACGTTCATATTTAGCTAGACGATATGGTGACAGCGAACAGTCAAATGAAACAAAACACGGCCAAATTGCATTTTCAAAGAAATTTATTTGCAAAACCTTCATTATCAGGCATTGTAAAATGTATTTGGCATTGAGGACAACTGTGTCAGTTACTTCTCCTAGGGAGTTTTCTACGATTTCTACGATTTCTGTGTCGCTTCACCGAAAAAAAAAATGCACATGCACATGCTGCGAAAAGAGGACAGCAAATTAAAAGATATACTTGAAATGTTACATATATATGTCCCTAGGCATATGTAAAATTAAAATAAAGTCATGCAAAAATATAGCTAATAAAATTAATTCTAAATAATTAATTAACATATAAAACAGAAACGCATTCGAAACCAAAAATGAAACCAAAAATATAACTCAAAGGAAGATAGATTAATGACCTTTTAAAAAATATGCTTGTTCTTAGATGATTCCGTACAGAAATTGGCAGTATATTATAAACACTTACATAATTTGTGGCCCAATAGTTCAGATACTTTTTTATATTATGACAACAACCCGTGACTGGCTCTGACACATTTTCCTATGCAGTGTTTCCTCTTTTCGTTTGTCCTATTAGATGTTGCTGGAATACACTATGTGAGACAATCGGGCCCTGTCAAATAAACAGCATTCACCACAACGTTGCAACCAGTGCATCGTCGATGACGAAGTACCTGTTCATCTTCATATTTATCCACATTGTAGAGCTCACTTTTTAGGACTTCAAGAGAGACAATTGTTTATATCAAATTCACTCCACGAAACTACACCGAGAAATAATTACGTTACAAAAATGTGAAAATCTCCCTTAACGATATATCATCAGTTTTATGTCATCATCATTGAAAAGATAATTAATACAATTAATACAATAACTATCTGATAAAATATTGATAACCAATAATCATTAGATTGATAAGCTAATTATAAATATATCTATAATACGTCACTAATTTAAAATTCATTACACAATACTGAATGTGTCATTATATCCACGTGCAATAACATGACTCAAATGAAATTTATAGAATTTAATATTCATTTCCACACAAATGAAAAGTTTTGCACCTGGTGTAGTTCACCGCATCCTCCCATTTTGGATTACAGCAAGAGAGTAAAATTAGTCCTTCCAGACAGTGACTAACGATTGTCACCTGTCATTCATTGTAGAATGAATAAATATAAATGTTTTATTCGCGTACCTTGGCGCACGTATAGATAAATGTTCACAGTTTCCTGTATATCCATGAATGTCTAGTGCCCAGCTTTTACGAAATTATCCAATGCGAATGATGCAGAAATGCACGTCAAGAAAAACCTTAACAAACATAGCAGTTATTTTCAATTTCAATACAGTTATACTTTTTTCGGGCAGTTTTAATTTGCAGTGGTATTATTCATGCAGAAGAGTTTGATAAACATAATACATCTATATAAAAGGTGCTGATAGCATAATAATAGTTTCAATAACAGCACTGATACTAATAATAAAAATAATAATAACTCAATCTGGCGTCCTACATTACAGTATTTATCTGGCACGTCCCAGATGATAGTAGTTATGACGTCTTTCGCTTCCTTTTTCACCTCAACAACTTATCTAGTTATATAATTAAATACTAACGTCACATTTTGATCATATCATCCCTCAAAACATATCAAATGATATTCATATAAGACCATTTCGGGATGCAGTAGTAAAACGGATAAAAAAAAAACAATACCCTGTTCTTAAATGTTTTTATTAAAAAATTAAAACATACTTCGGTTTTACCGTTTTCGATTTCGGGATTTTCTCTACCAGCGAACTTTAACTATTTCCCTCTGTTACGTTAATTTACCCCATATTTCAATGGGTTAATCACTTCAAAAGACGATAACTTTCAAACAAACAATTTCCTCCAAAATCCCTGATATCCATCTGTAATCCACATTCTCAACAACTTTAACTATGCTTAGATAGGGAAATATGCTTGAAACCGATTCACCGATCTCGTAAAACTGTAAAGCTGTCGAAACAACCAAAAACGTTCACAGGTTGGTTAACAAACCTTCCCAGCAGACAAACGACATTGATTCACCGTTGAATCAACGTTAATTTTGGTGGATCAACGTTGAATCAACGTAGAATCAATGTCGTTTGCCTGCTGGGCTTATTAGTCAAATGCTTAGCTGACAAATTTACCTGTTATTGTTATACGATCAGATGGAACCATTGCTCATTGTCATCTAAAATATTTTTGAGTGCTTTGAAATGCCAGAAAATCGTGTTTTTGTAACGTTTTTCGATCACGCGTTAGACTTGTAAGCGTGCAGCAATTTTGATTGACAGCTCTGGACAGGCCCTCAGCCTAGTGATGCAGACCAGGGGATCAATGATATGTAGAAGGAAGTACAAACCAATTAAGAGGTGTGAAGTTGCATTTGAACGCTTTTATGGGCTTTCCTCAATAACCGAGAAATTTTACCCAGGAGATTATTTCTCTGTCATCGGCAAAGTGCTCAGATGAAATCGTTTGCATCTGCCTCGAGGAAGTGGCCGTCAGTCGTGTTAATACGAATTTTTGACTGTTAACGATGCAGGATTGTTTTCACGGCATTTGGTCATTGTCAGGTCAACATGAAAATCCAGTGATTACTTTAGAGCACTATCTCTCG